TTACGCTCTGTGATGAAAAGGAAAAAAGAAATATCTTAGTTTATCTCTAGAGGATGAAAAGTCAACATATACCTGTCAGCAAGGTAAATTGGCCTTGTTCATATTTCACAAATCAAGTATCTACAATGGAATGTCTTGATCAATCTAAATACCTAAGGGGAGTATAATTCCTTAGAATTGCTTCCTTTAGTTTATACTCGTATCTCTTTATTCATGCGTGTGCTTCAAACACACACAAATGGTGAATAAGATGTGTTGCTGTATAGCTTACAGCTGTTGATGCACAGTGGGAAGAAAAATGTATTTTATTTAGTCTATACACAGTGATCAGCTGTTTATAGTACCTTTTTGTACCTTCCTATTCATTCAGCTGTTTATAATAACTTTTTGTACCCTCCTATTCATTCTTTTTAGGACATACTAAACATGTTGATCCAAGTAAGTGGAACAAAGTCTCCTTTAAAGGTATCCCTAGCTAGGCTCCCCCTCAAACACTCCTTTCATTTAATCATCCTTTCCTGACACTTAATTTGTCATAAAACCTTGCAAATTACAAAGTCCTTAACCCACACAAAATGATCAAAGGTATAACTTGCCCTTTCACAAGTTGAATTTGAAGTGGTATATGTATTTAAAGTAAAGTTCAATATCTTACACTTTGTTATTTTAAGTAATCACCGCAACTTTAATTATCCAGTCTTTGTTAAGATGGCTAATATTGAAAAAAATTGAATATCATAAGATAAGATGTTGGCAGATTATTATGAACACATTTATGTTACATCAAACTAATTGATTGCTGAGATATTGACATATTTCAATATTTTTTTAACCTATCAGAGTACGGGTTACAATCAGAGCTGGGAGCTGATATAATGGTTGCTATTTGCCTTCTGCATGCGTCAATAAATTGCGGTTCATGTCTGTTCCGGTTCAACCAATTTTAGTCAATTGCCAGATGATTTGGGACAGGGAAATTCTGTTCTTTGACGACCGTATTCACAAATGACATGTCAAGCATCAGTTGTCTGGTCCTCACTCTTCTACAATAATGGTGGCAATTCGCGACCAAAACGTAAATAAAGAGTTATGCGGACGAACAGACCACATATATGGCAATATTCTATAATATGTGTAACACATATCAAGAGAAATGTGTATCTGAAGTCAGCTTCGGTGTCTTTGATAACATAGGTTATATATAATTGTTAGTATTGGGAAAGTAACATGAGGAAACATTGTCCACATGGTAGTGTGTGTTTCTCGAAGAGCACTATGACATACCCGACAGACCACAAACTCAATTCCCACAGGTAAAACAATGTCAAGACAGGTTATCACGAAAGTCATGCACAACAGTTTCAAGGTCCAGTTTGATTACGCATTAAGATATCATTGTATTGTCATTTGCACTTAAACAGGTGATGAGCACCATTTAGGACAAAACTAAAACTGTGTCGCATAAACAAGTTAAGGGCCAGATAACGTGCACTCTATAAAATTGTCTTCATGAGTGCATTTCACAAGTGACCACATCCATGTTGTTGTTTAATTTATTAAATTATCTTCAAGAGCACATTTTACAAGAAAGGGGCATGCTGCAATCAATATTGTAATTTTTCGGTAAGTTATCAAATGCAAACTAGTATAAGTTCATGCTTCCTTGATAATTTACATTAGGACACGTGCCCCACCCATGGCCTTTGATTGACCACGTCTTGTTCTCTACCAGGGGTCCTTCGAGCTATTACAAAATTGGACGAAGAATTTGGTCTCATTAAGTAACAGCTAGAAATGTTGCTGTTAGATAGTACACCCTTCTTTCCTCCCCTTCCAATAATTCAAATCTTAGTTTAAAAAAATAATAAAGTAAAATAATAAAAAAGAATGTCTCCAATATATAATGTACACCGTATCTGTACATAGCAGTTGTATGGCAGCATATAATTTTGTGAGGAAGGTAATACGCTTCTGAAACCTACTTTCCGAACACAAAGAAAGTACAAACATAACCTTCACAAAATCTTCCTCAATCATCTCTTCCTCAGTCAGCTTATCTTCTTCAACATTATCCACCTGGTCTCCCATAGTTGTGCCGATGTTTAGATTGAGGGGAGACTGTACTCAGCTCAAGTGCAGAACTACTCTTGGTGTTATGAAATGAGGCTACTACCTTAGTGGAATATGTGGTAAAGAGTTAATAGTTGAAGTGCCAGTTTCTCTTCTATTATATCTCATTGATTCATCTCCTGGGACTTTTTTCGTGTCATACTTTGTTTCTGAAAGGCAGTCGATTATGCGCTGCCGATGTATCGATCTCAGAATTTTGTTCGCTCAAAATAATAATAATAATAATAAAGCACACTTGTTTGGACATCAGCACTATGTAAACCCTTTGATGAAATATTCCCTGTTTGGCTTGAATAGTAGTATATAGAGTAATGGAACGAGGCCAGGGAAACAAAAGAAGGCACATATTATTTCACCAACTAATGATTTAACTCACAATGTTAACAAAGGGTCTAACAGGAAAATCTCTTGGTTTGAAAGCCGTTAATCTATAGTCACTTATTATAGAATTATTTTCCCTTTAACAATAAAATTCCCATCTCATTGCTATTATTTATTCAAGCGAGAATACATTTCAAGATTTTGAAGATTATCACAGATAAAGAAGGAATAATAATGTCAATGTTAATTGTACCGTAAATGATACATATTGTTTCTTGGAGGCGCTTTTTTATTCCATTTACTTGATAAACTCTCTCTCTCTCTCTCTCTCTCTCTCTCTCTCTCTCTTTCACGCACACACACACACACACACACACACACACACACACACTTAAATACACACACATCCCCCCCACACACACAAATACACACACACACACACACACACACACACAAACACACACACACACACACACACACACACAGACACA